TCCCTCACCCAGCGTCCTAGCGACCCAGCAGGTGCCCTCTTTGGTGACAACACACAGATTCACAGGCACAGGTGGCCATGTGGATCTTCATGGAACCCTCCGTCCCCAGAGCAGCAGGACGGGCCGCTCTGCGGAGTGGGGCCGAGAGCCGCGGACAGCGGGACCGCGGCCGAAAAGCAGGGCTGAGGGATTAGAGCCTGCGGGAAGCGGGGCTGAGGGATGAGAGCCTGCGGGAAGCGGGGCTCCCTTGCTGAGGTGGCTGTAAGAGGCAGCGGGGCGGGATCTAAGGAGGAGGATGAAAAAGCTTTGCCCGCACAAGCCCAGAGAGGCAGGGGCTAGCCTGGCCAGCATCGGAGCCTGGTCCTTCCTTCTTCCCGGAAAGGAGGGAAGCGGGTCAGTTTCAGTTCTCTGCGAGTGCTTTCGTTACACGAGGAACGCGTTTTAACAACGTTCGATATTTATTCCCGAGGAAAGGCTCAAAAGAAAGGACAGCAAAGTGCAGCTCAGGCCCCAGCCGGTGCCCGGCAGGAAGCAGGAGCCAGAGTGCAAGGCGGCAGGTACCAGTTTAGGTCACTAAGCAAGCTCCACTCCTGAAATAACGACGCAGCCTTCATCCCGCTGGGGGGAAAAAAATGTTGGGGGAGATTAGCACGAGTACTTTTTTCCCCTCACTCCCCCCTTGCAGTGGTGGTATAAATAGGTCGCCTTCAGATCTCGGTCCAGTACAAAAGGAGCCCGCGGGTCTGAAGTGACCACACAAACCAATCCGTTGGGGAAATAAATTCGAAACAGTTTTCAAGAGCAGGGCTCTGCCGAAGTGCCAGGAGGGAACAGCATGAAAGATCTCTCCTCTCTTCATCCCCCTCTCCAGTGAAATGACCCCGCTCCCTAAAGCGAGGTATTTCCTCTGGGATGCTGGATCCGGCACCCCGGACTCCTGCCGTGGCTCTCCTCAGCCATCCCCCCGCCGCTCTGGCTGCAGCCATCGGGAATACAAGGAGGACGGAGGAGGCTTGAGGGGACACCCCTCAAGCCGCTGGTTTCCCTCGGCGGTGGCTGGGAAAGTGGGGAAGAGCATTCTTGCCTCCTCCCCCCGGCCTCCTGCGAGAGCCGGGCTCGTCCCAGCAGCCGTCCTGCCTGCCCGCTCCTCGCAGCCCTGCGCTGCCGCGCCCGGTGTGCAGGGAGCAGCGGAAACCTCTGCCTTTCCCCTCGACTTAACACAAGCCTGAGTGTTTAAATCACACAGGAATAAAGATTTATTTTTCTTCCAGAAATCGAAATGCAGGATATGCCCACCATCGCCTGCGCCTCGCTCCGGGTCCTCACCCGGGAGCGACGCCCGCCCTTGCCTCGGCGGAAAGGAAACAGCTCTTCGGAAACAAGCTAGTCAGGGCTGCTCTGGGCTGTCCCTTCTCCCTGGGGTGTCGCCGGCAGGCGACACCTGGAAGGCCCGGAACTGCAGATTCCTGACGATTCCCGCATCTATTACTCGGTCGGTGTGAGCTGCCGTCCATAAAGGCGGGACCGGTTGGCTCTCACACGGGCTCCCGCAGCTCGGGGGGAGAAGGAACCCTCGGGAGTGACCTCCTCCGAAACCAACAGAGACCATACCTGAAAAGTGTCTCGATATAAAGCCCATTTACACATGGAATTGACAAACTGTTCCTACGGAGCGCAGACCTTTCGGCCGCTCTTTTCCCCTTCCCTTTTGGACGCATCTAATGCACGGACAGGACAGGTTTGAGGTCACTCGGAGGAAAAATGATGAGACCGTGTTTCAAACGGTGCGCATCCCTCTGCCCCTTGCTCTGCGGATCGTGGGTCCCGCAGTCGAGAGTGCGGAGCGAGCGGGCGGGCAGGACTCCGCGGCCGGACGGACACGGCCGTGCCGGCTGCGCCGCGACACGCAGCTCCATCGCCTCGTTGAACGGGAGGGCGGCTACAGGCTCCCTGTGTGCTTTTGTACTCGCAAGGCTCCGCTCCCGGCTAACGGGGGCCGGGGGAATCCCCCGTCACACTTGCTGCACTCCAAACCTAGTCCAGCTAAACGAAAACAGTCAGGAAAAAAGTGATTTCCCGGTTATTCCCCCCCACGCCCGCTAGATCGCCAGGTATTTGAGTACATCCTTTCCCCCGGTAACGATTCCCGAATTAACCTTCCGCTTCTAGGGATGCAAATTGGCTCTTAGGCAGAGGGTTCCATTGCTGTCCTTTCCGAGGGCTGCGGATTAGCCCTGATTTGAAGTTAATGGATTTTTCGTTATAATTTAATGCAAGGAGGGGCTAACCGAGACTTCTGACCATAGGAACCCTGGGCAGCTCTCCTTCGGTTCGGCCACGCTGTGCTGCCTCTGCGATCCGGCACGTTGCAGCGTTTCTGAATAAAAATGTTACATATATATATATATACACACACACGCACACACACACACACACACACATATGTGTGTTTATAATCTCCAAATCACTCCCTTTAGTTTTTTGCTCTTGCTGTTGTTTAACTTCGCCGAAGAGAGAAAGCCTGAGGCCGAGTATAATGCTGTATCGTCGAGAACTGCCCTCACATCATTTCTTTCAGGCTTCTTTTTCGTTCCCTCAAAACATTGCGGGGAAAGGAACCGGGGAACACGTATTTAAAGTGCCCTTCCAGCGTGAGCGATGCTGCGAGTCCGCTGCGGAGGAGCGGGGGATGCGGGAGCGGAGGTGCTCCCGGTACCCAGGCAGCTGCCCTTCGGCGGAGCCGCTCGCAGGCTGCCGGTACCGGCAGAACGCAGGCTCCCTTGGCCGCCCCGAAGCGGATTTTAGAAAGGCTTTCATGCATTGAGTTGGTTTGGTTTTTATTATGTCGTGGACGAGGGAAAGAATGGGGCCTGCAGTGGGGTGGGTGAGTTTGGGAGGGGAGAAAGAAAGGACGAGAAAATAATTAAGTAGAGGAAATAAAGAGAATAAGGAAGGCAAATCCGCTGAAAGCTTTCTCGGGCTAGAAAACTCAGCGAGCTCGGCCCTGCTCTGAGGGAAACTCGCAAAATGGTTTAAAATCTCGTAAATGAATCCGTCTCTGGCTGTTTTTAATGACGACGTCGCTAGAAATCCCTTCTGCATCTGGGGGGCGAGGGGTGGGCGCCTATTCTTGTCAGATCCGAGCTAATGAAAACGGCGGTGCCGGTCTTGCTCGTGGAGCAAAGGCCTGGAGGGTGGCGGTGGCCACGGGCCCCTCCCGAGCCGTCGTCTCGGGGGTCACATTCCCATTCTGCAGTCCCGCTCCCCCGTGAGCCGCATCCCGCTCCCCCGCCCCAGATATACACATACACAGATGAAAGCCACGAGTGCCCCCCGCTCTGCACGGGGTGCGGGAAGCTACGCGGGAGAAGGGAGCACACATGGCTCGGGCCCGGCGGGAGCCCGCTGGCAGCCCAGAGCAGCAGCCGGTGCCCCCGCTCCCCGCCCGCAGCCGGCTGCGCTGCGGCCCGCGCTCCCGAAGGGGTTAATGTTCTTCTTGTCTTCGCTTTCTCTTACTCGTTTTTTCTTTTATTTCGTTAAATTCTTTTCTTTTCTTTTCTTTTCTTTTCTTTTCTTTTCTTTTCTTTTCTTTTCTTTTCTTTTCTTTTCTTTTCTTTTCTTTTCTTTTCTTTTCTTTTCTTTTCTTTTCTTTTCTTTTCTTTTCTTTTTTCTTTTTTCATTTCTTCCGAAGAACTGGGGATTTAGTTTGCGTAATATCTTTATTACTGAAAACTTCAAGGTAAGTGAGCAATAGAAACCAGATGTGGCGATGGGAGGAAGGCAGGGTAAGAGTAAGTAAGGGGTAGCAGGAGTTAACTGGGGGAGGAGGGGAATCAGGTTGAATGGGGGGTGGGGGGGAAGGACGACGAAAGGTGAGTATTGATTTATTTTTAAGCTCTTTCTGGGTTGTAATTGACCCCTCAAACCAAAAAGGGCTCCTGCCAGCCTCTGTCCCTTTGCAAGTCACCTCTGGCAATCCCAGACGCTTGGCCCAATTCTGTGTGCTTGGTGACTCTGTTAAAATCCGTCCCTGGTGCCTTCCCGTTTTGGATCCAGTAGTTTTACACCTGAAGAGAGCACGTTTTTAGAGGTAAATAAATAATAACCACCATAAACGTGTGGCGAGACCCGACGGAGAGCTCGCCCGGCTCTGTGCGGGGCGACCGCGGCACCGCCGTGCCACGGTGGGGAAACGGCTCACAGCACGCTGGCAGAGCTGTCGGCCCTGAAGGGGTTAACGGGAGGGGGGGAGGCTTAAAGGCAGATAGCTGCGAGAAAATCCGTATTGCCTTTAATAGAGAGAAGGGGGTCGCAGAGGCGAGGGTCCCCACAGCTGGGGCAGTGAGCAGAGGAGAGAGCGGAGTGAACAGAGCGTGTCACGAGCATTAAATCGTCCCCGGCTCTTCCGCCGGCGCGGATCCCGCACTCATCCCTTCTTGGAGTTTAAATCATCTGCTTGATTTTCTGGTTTACAATCATAAAAATATTGGGGCTGGTTTGTTTTTCTGGTTTGCTTTTTTTTTTTTTTTTAACGCAAAAGATATGACCTCCACCTTCCCCCTGCTTCCACACACCCCCATACACACACACACACTCACACACACCCCTTCCTAGGCCCCCTCCCCTCCACTGTCATCATCTACATATTAATTGGGGGAGAGGTCTCCCTCTCTCTCTCTCTTTTCTTTTTTTTTTTTTTATTTTTTTCTTATGGGGGGGGGGGGAAGCCCAGAGAAGAGCCTCTTTAGAATGTAGTTTGGAGAGAGACACGGAGGGCAAGCGTATGTGAGAGAGGGAGGGAGGGAAAGAAAAAGACCCCTTTTACTGTGCGAGAACTTAAGGGGGTTTGGAGATCTGGTCAGCTTTCACAAACATCTGAATCCTCTTAGAGCTCCCCGGCCCAGCTGTGAGTGTGTGTCTATGCGAGAGGGAGAGAGAAAGAGTGGCTCCTGGTGCCCCTCCAAGCGCATTAAGGACACTCGGGCCTTTTAATTTTAGGAATGAATGCTGATACTTGTGTTTCTTATTGTGATCCGGCTGCCATGGATTCCTACTACAACGCAGCCTCCCAGGACACAGAAGGCTCCTCGCCTTTTAGGGCATTTCAAGCAAGTGACAAGTTCAGCCCTACTTTCCTGGCCAGCAAAGGACAAGGCTTTGGTGACAGCAGCACAAAGTGCCGGAGCCGCTACAGCCAGCAGGAATGTCAGTCCCTGGATGGCAGCGTGCAGGCTCCCGGCTCTGCCGGGTCTCCGGCCTCCTTTAACAAATACCCTCCGCAGCAGCAGCCGCCGCACCTCTATATGCAGCGAGGCCCCTGCAAAACCCCCCCGGACAGCAACATCAAGCTGCAAGAGAGCAGCGGCCACAACGGAGCCCTGCAGGTCTCCTGTTACGGTGAGTCCTTGGCGTGCGGCGGGGAAGCACCGGAGGCGAAAGCGGAGAGAGACTCCCGGGCCTAGGAAGGACCTCCCGGGAATGTGGGGGGTGGCTGGCAGGCAGGACAAACCCTACCGGGGTCAAGGAGACCTTGCCCGGCTCCGGCGCGCAGCCCCCTCTCGCCGCAGCGGGGGCCGCCGTGCCCCAGGAGTATCTTCATTCCCAGCCGGGTCTGGAGCCCGCGATGCCCGCGGGAAGCCGCCCTTCCCCCGTGTCCCGTTTAGCCCTGTTCTTAGTCGTAGTTTCGGATTGCGGGCGATGCGCTCCCGCAAAGCGTTAGCTCTGGTGCGATGCGGGGAGCTCCGCGCAAACTGGGACGGAAACAGAAAGAGCGGAGAGCCGGGCTGTGCAATGTACTCTCCGCGAGGACCGTTTTCCGCAGAAAGAATTTCTGGAAAATTTCGCCGCAATCATCATTTTCGCGGTAACGGCCTCTCCTGTCTCTCACTTTCTCCCCTAATTGCCACTCCCCTAATTGATTTCTGCCCTGCTGCAGATAACCCCCTCGCATCCCCTCCGTGGGTCATTAGCGGCAATTAAGACACTCCCTCGCGCTGTCGCTCGACAGTGCAGCCGGGAACGGGGGCGCTTCTCATGTCGTTTCCGACCGTGGCTTTAAAAGGTTTTTTTCGGGAGGTTTCCGCTGTATCGTGGCAGTTAGGGAAAAGCAAAACAAACAAACAGCTCCCCCTTAAAACAAACAGAAAAATTCAACAACGAAACAAATAAACCCTCCTAAGTTTTCCTTAGAAGAAAAGATGGAAATGAAAGCTCTTCCTTTCCTCCCCGGTGATCTCTCCTCTGGGCAGAGGGACTGTCCCGGCCTAGATTCAGAGCGCGTCTCCGCTGACGGGGTCTCATTCTCGATGCGTTAGTCCCAAAGGCAAGGACAAGTATAGGACCGTGTCTCCAGGGAGACCCTAAGACGGACAGAGACTACGGACTGGGGGCACGGAGGAGGTGGAAGAGGTCCGGGTCAGGCCAGCAATCCCATTTCTAGGCTCCAGCCGTCATTTGAGCACTCTTTGCTCTCTTTACCTTTTTCCTCCATCTCTAAACTTGAAAGAGGGTAGAGGCGCCTTACTTCTGCCTGTCTCCCAAGCCCCGGCTTGCCAGGTCACCTTCAGGCGCAGTCCCTCATCCCCGGCTTGCAGCTGAGGTGTCCCCGGATCCAGCTCCAGAGCCCCAGCTCCCCCACGCACGGGTGACTCCCCTTCACAGGAAAAGGACATTAAGTCCTCTCCACACAGCCGTGCCCGGGAGCCGCAGGCACAGCCCAGCTGCGCTGCGCCCGGACGGGCTCCTGCCCGGACCCGCACGGTCCTTCCCGCTGCCGGTGGCACAACCATCCTCCCGCGGGTGTCTCCTCACCGGGCCGCGCAGTGGCATGAGGGCTCTTTGAGGGCTGCTTGCACATATTTGCTGGCCAGAAATGACCGTCTCTTACGCTCCCTCTCTTTCCCTGCCCTTTACCCGTGGGCGGACAACCCCCACCAGCGCCAGGCTCGCTCCGCATCCTCGGAGGCCTTCTGGGGCCAGCCCGGGCTCCGCGGGAAAGGACACACGGAGGAGACCTGCGGGGCTCGGCCCATGCAGGAGGTAACCGGTCCCCGCTCCCTCTGGGAATGGGATCGCAGGTCAGTCTCCCGTGCCTTCCCCGCCGCCCCGACATCCTCTCCTCTGCTAATCGGCTCTCTTGTTTTTGTAGGTTGCAAGGCCCAGGGCGCCGGCATAGCCTGTGATGACACATCACAACCCCCCGGTAGAATCACACGAGTTTATTGCCTTCCTGACACCGGCGGGGTTCCCCTGCTTTATTTTCAAGCGAGTCTCGGGGTTCTCTTCAGTGGGAGCCCCGCGGCGGCGGCGGGTGGCCCGGCCCGGCCCAGACCGCGCTCGTTGTGAGCCCCTTGTGATGTGGCTGGGGACGGTGGGCTGTAATGAGAGACACATGGTTGGCAAGGATAATTAATAGCAACAGCGATAATAATAGTGCTTAATGGTTGAAGAGAGAGACTCGCTAATAACAGACAGATCAGGGTTTCGCGGAGCGACTGCAACATCCATAGGCGCCTCTCCGCCTTTTCCCAAACCGCGAGACCACCGAGCCGGGCGCAGGAGTTGCGCCCGTGGAGCCCCTGCGAGGGCCGAAGGGACGGGGAAACCTCCGAGTAGGGGTAGATCCCCTTGGAGAGGGTGAGCCCGGGCCAAGAGAAAGCCGCCCTCGTTCCTTGCAGCGGGCACAGGCGCGGTCGGCCAGCGCACACACGGCGCTCCGGGCGGTCAGGAGAGCTACCCGGAGGGGTTTGCTCGGGAAGCCGGGGACAGGCGACTGTCCCACTGCTTCCCGCCGACACCCCGCCGCAGCTTCGGTGCTGGTGCTGCCGTGCGCGTTGTGCGGAGGTGAAGGAGCGCGTCGGGGACCGCTGGCTGCCCGCGTCCCTGCTGTCCGGGCCTGAACAGGATGCTGGAGTGGCGGTGGGACGCCGTGACCGTAAACCCCTCAATTTTAAAAACAACAAAATCCCAAAAGAAGAGGGGGAAAAACCCCAACTAAGCAAAACACAAACCGAGGCCAACCAGCAGGCAGGCTCTCCAGCCAGGCGATACCCAGGCGGGCGGCTCCCCCCGCGCCCATCGCCCGGCCCGGTCCCCTCCTGGGGAGTGCTGCTCCCCGCACGGCGGCCCCGCAGCTCTCGCCTCCGCCTTTCCCCTTGTCGCAGTGGGGCCCGGGAGAGCCCGGAGCCGAGCGGCCGGGCCGGCGGGGCACGGCGGGCATTCCGCTTGCCAGAGGGACAGGGTGTCCCCTCCTTTTTTTAGTTGCTTAATTTCATTTTATTTCTTTAATAAACAAGTCTTTTTTGAGTTATAAAAAGCCCGAGCCTGCCATCTATTGCTCTCGGCTTCTATTTCTAGATCTAAGACCTTCCACTGCATTGTACGGATAAATATAGGCCAGGGAGAACTGCGGCCGTAAATACGAGGACACGGACGGCAATCGTCGGAGCGCTTCCAGGCCGGCTTCTGGCAGGGACAGCGGCACCGGGCGGCCCTGGCTCTCGGCCGGGCGCCCCGCGGCCCCCTCGCAGTGGCGGCTGCCAGCCTGTCCCTGCGGGGTTCCCGGCACGGCTCCTTCTGTGCCTACCGCAGCCCGCTGCCCCTGCCCTGCGACGGGCCGGCAGCCTCGCACTGCTTACCCCGCGCTCCCTGCCTCGAACAGGGGTACGGCTTGTTCCACAAACAGGCACGGGCAGTGAAAGCCGAATTCTTAAAAAACAGTCACAGAATGAGAGAATCTTCAAGGTTGGAAGAGACCTTCAAAATCATCTAGTCCTGAGAACAGGTTATATATCTTGGCTTAGGAGGGGAAAAAAGCTTTCGGATGATTTATGTGCTGTAGTAATCTGACTTGCTATTTCTACTGCGTGGAGCTGAAGTAAGTTATATTTCTTGAAACATATGTATTCACATACCCTTATACACACAGAAATGTATACATATATTGCTGTCTAGAAATACCGGCTGGAACAAAATCCTTTCGGGAGTGAAGGGGAATGTGATGGGGATGTTTGCTCAAAGGAAACAGAGAAAGGAAACGGCTTTCCTTGACAGAGGAAATTCTTTAAGTACCCCGTTATGCAAATAACGACTTTTTTTTTTTTTTTTTTTTTTTTTAATTTGGCTAGCAAATAAAAAGTGCGGCCGTACGTGCGTTATTATTTGAAGTACAGAAAGCCACTGATGTAGGAATCGGAGGCTCGCTGCGTGCTTTTTAAATTGACACTTTTAATGGTTTTCTCCTCCTCCTCGTTCCCTCATGTAACGCAAGCTGCAGGCACGGCAGGACCGAGCTCGCTGGCGGTCCCTCTCCGCCTCCCGCGAGAGACCGCTCGCTGCCAGGCGCTCGGGGCTCCCGCACAGCCCCCGCCGACGTTCAAGGCTCCGCGGGGTTCGCCATCCGCCGGGGAGGGCCCCCTTCCCCCGGCTTCCGCGCCCGGAGAGGAACGGGGGTCGTGTGCTCCCCCTGGGACTCCCGCAGGGCTCCCCGCCTCGGGCGATGCCGTGTCCCCGCACCCGCGTCCGGGCCACCCTGCTGAGGATCTCCGCAGCAGCGGCTCTGCCAGGAGGGGATGGCGGTCCCTGCCCCCCGCTCGCCGAGAGTTCGGGGTGCAGAGGGCTTGGGGAGGGGTGTCCCGAGCTGCGGCGGCCCTTCGGTCCTGCCTCCCTTTTCCTCTTTCATCGGCTTTGATCTCGGCTCCTGCCCGGGCTCCTTCGCCGCGGCCGAGAGTGCAGGGGGGAGGCGGGCGGGGTGGGGAGATGCTGCTGCCCTGATCCCCGCGGGGAGCAACAGGGAGTATAAAGGGGAGAGGTGCGCGGGAGGCAGGCGTGAGAGGGGAAGCGGGGGAAGGGAACAAGGGGAGACGCGATCCAAGCTGGCATCAGGGAGCAGGAACCGGCCAGCGGAGCCAGGAGGGCGGGGAGGCGAGGCGAGCTCCAGGGAGCAGGGCGGCAGAGCCGGCCCTTCCCTCCCGCTGATGTGGGACCGGCTGCCCGGCGAGGCTCGGCCGCCGGCTCCCGGCGTGCTGCTGACGCCGCCCTGGCAATAGCCCTCTCTTTTCCACAATAGGGCCACCAGATCTGCCATTCAAGGGTTCCGGCACCCTCCCAGGGAGGGGAGGGAGCTCTCGCCAGGAGTTTGGCTAAGCCTCTGTTTGAACAGACACTCGGAGGTGCGGGATCTCCTCCGCGGAAACCTGCGGGATTTCCTCAGGGAGCCAGACGCGAAGGTAGGGCTCACGTTCCTTACCCCTAGGGCCGCTCAGGAAGGTTTATTCGCGGCTCTTTCCAAAAGGTGTTTCGCGCTTCTCTTGAATTGGACGGTAGAATTGATAGATCTGGCTGGAGGCTTTTATAGGATTCCTGACCCGAGCTGTTTATAACACTCATGTGTCAAAGGA